GAGCTTGGTCCTGCCTTGAGGGCGGGTGGCTGGACTCGATGACCTCTTGAGGTCCCTTCCACTCCTATTATTCTATGATTCTATGATTATTATCAAAACCATGAGAACAGATGAATGGATCATAAAGGTGGGTTTTAAAGTCTGGTTTATCAGTGTCAGCAGGGACCTATTAAATAAAGTCACTCTAGGCAGGATGAAAATCTGGATTATTTTTATGGACGAGAAAGTTGGTGGATCAAATGCCTCAAATTACAGCTGATTGGGAATTTTTCAATTAATTTTTTTTCTTGGAAAGATTGTGTCATCAAAATCAAAACTTTTTGCAGACAAGAGAGATTGGATGAACATTTCTCTAGTCCATTGCGGAACTTCTGGTCAAAAGGAAAAAGCCAGAGTCCCCAGAACCGGCAAGAGCCCAGTGGTTAGGACACTCAGCTAAGATATAAAAGAATTGGTTTAAGTTCCTACTCTGCCTGAGTTAGAGGAGAGATCTCTACCTGGGACTTCCATACCCTGTGTGAGAGCTATCCTATTAGGTTATGTATACACAAAAGTGTTATTTCGAAATATCTTATTTTGAAATAGTTAATTCGAAATAGCTTATTTTGAAATAACACATCTACACACAAAATGCATTTCGAAATAGCGTTTTGCTATTTTGAAATAGTGCATCCACACTGAGTGGACACTGAATTGCATTGAAGGCTGGCTGGAATCAGGTCCAGCAGGGCATCAGGTCAGGAGTTTATTTGTGAGGCTGCTGCCTGAGGTTATATGAGGCTTGTGTTTAAAGGGATCCTCCCCCCAGCAGCCGGTTCTCAGCTTTCCCTGCTTACTTGCCTACCTCGATGAGGGACAGCAAAGCATTTGTGTCTCTGTGTGCTCTGGTTGCCCTCACTTGGAACACCACAGCACTCTGCAACATGGAGCCAGAGCTGCCCCTGGGCACTCTGGTGCTTCTCGTGAACAGGTTGATGCAAACCTGGCTGCACTTTTCCTGCCATCCAGGAAGTCTATCAGGGGGCTGTCAGTATCCAGGAGGCCCTGTGGGAGAGCTTCCACCCTGAGGAGCACTAAGATCCTCCCTGGTCTGCCCCACTGGGGGCTTGTGCTTCATTCCTCCCCTACATCGTTCCATTTACCCTCCCAGCCCCTCTTCCTGATGTCAAATAAAATACACGTATTTTCATTAATACAAACTCTCTTTATTTAACAAAACTGGTGGTGGTGGTGGTGTGGGGG